TCGAGACGTTAAATTTAAAAGACTCATAACTACGTTTAAATAAAAAGTATCAGTCGATTTTGCCCTTAGCCAATGTTCGATTATTTAAATATATTTTGACATCTGTTATGATTATTAAAATTGTTTGCCCTCTATCCAATATTGTCGGACCTAAACAAATATAATATAAATATTGCGACGTTCCACGCTTGGACTATATTAACTACTTCCTTCAATTTATATGAGATATGTGCGAATTTTGGGAAAATGTGAAAATATGCGTGAGGTAACAGACATAGTGGACCGAAGTATTACATTTTCATACTTCATCTAATACAGATAAAAATATTGGTATGCGCAAAATTTGAAGAAAATCGAACCTTTATATCCACTTTTATGCGAAATCATAAATTCCGATAAATATTCATATTAGATTTTTAGCTAAGAGATATATTTAGATATAGCAAGTTGTAAAGAATCTTTGACTTGTTTCGCAAGTTATGACAGATAAAAGTATTGCAAATTGTGATTCTTTGTGGGTTGGGTACAAGAAGAGGTTTCGCAGATATATATCATCTTCACAACAGATCTTGTGTGAAACACCAAACTGTTTGTGTTTTTGATATTAGAAGAGATTTGTATGCTTATTACGCTTCCTTTGAGCGTCACGTTTTTCAAAAATCTTGAACCCTATGCGGGGGAGGTACCATAAGAAATGGTCCGATCAGCATCATCTTTATAACAGATCTTGTATTGATGGAAAATTTTGACCCTTTGTGGGGGTGGTACCAGAAGGAGTGGACCGATATATCCCATCTTAACACCAATAATAAAAATATTATCATGTGCGAAATTTGAAGAGAACCGGATGCTTATTTCTGATTTTATGATCGTGTTGGTTATTCACGATCTCGTGTTGCTGGAAATATTGGTATGTGCCAAGACTGAATGGAATCGAAAGTTAATTTCGTGTTTCATGAATATTCAAAATTTTAACCCTTTGTGGAGGGGGTGCCAGAAGGAGTGGACCGATATATCCCAATTTAACACCAGACCTTGGCTTAACTAAAATATTGTGATGTGTATAATTTGAAGAGTACCGGATGCATATTTCGGATTTTATGATCATTTTGGTTGTTCAAAACTTTGACCCTTTGTGGGGGAGGTACCAGAAGGAATGGTCCGATCTCTACCATCTTTAGAACAGATCCTGTGTTGAAAGAATTATTCAGATGTGTTTTATGAGCTTCATGAATATTCAAAATGTTTACCCTTTGTGGGGGAGGTACCAGAAGGAGTGGACCGATATATTCCATCTTCACATCAGACCTTGGGTTAATAAAAATACTGGAATGTGTGAAATTTGAAGATAATTGGACTCTTACATCACATTTTATAAGAGTTGTTATTATTCAAAATTTTGACCCTTTGTGGGGCAGGTACTTGATGGAGTGGGTCGATCTATGAAAAGTTGGAGCAAAATCGGATTATCGTTTCTCTTTCTATGCATAAAATATGTTTTTTGAAAATGTCGACCTTTTGTGGGGGAGGTACCAGAAGGAGTGGACCGATATTGCATCCATCGATATCCATCTCCACACTTTGACAAAAATATTTCGATGTACCAAGTTTGATCCAAATCGGATACTCCCTTCGAGAGCTATCGTGCGCACCAACCGAAAAAACAGACGGACGGATATCACTATACCGAATCCAAATGTCCTGAAACAGATTTGGTTTAAAGAGATCTATGGTCTAAAACCGTTATCTAGGTACGTTTTGACCGTATCAAATGATATATACCCTCTTTAGCTATATGGTTGAGGGTATAACAACGTTATTTAAACTGGATGGTAACAAATTATAAATTATGTGTCAAAGTCTACTATAGGTCCCAGAAAATGTCAAAAGTCTAAACCTTACTTAAAACTCAGGAATTCATAAATATGGAGGACACAATTTAGGGATAAAGCCATATGTTAAGACAGTTAATGCAAAATCCTCCTACAGAGCATAATTTTGGGGGGGATTACATCAGTCGGTTTAGCCGACAGATGTACAGGGTGAGATGAAAAAACTGCACCAACTTCAGACTACTGTAATTTCTAAGGTGTTAGAACACTCCAGCATTTAAATGTGAATAAATCTTTTGTGTCTCGTACCATCGCTTGTTACCGTGATACTGATAACGTAGCCCGACGTCAAGGAAGTGGACGAAAGAAAACAGCAACATCAGCAGAAATGGTTCGAAAAGTAAAGAAGCGACTTGATCGAAACCCGCGTCGCAGCGGCCGCAATATCGCAAAATATTCCATTCGGCAAATAATGAAAAATGAGCTCAGAGTAAAGCCATTGAAATTCCAAAAAGTGCAAGATCTTAAAACGCAACTGAAGGAAAATAGACTCAAAAGAAGTATGGAGTTGCTTCGCTTGGCCGAAAGTGGTGAACTGCCGAATTTGGTTTTCTCTGATGAGAAAACATTCGTTGCCCAGCAGTTTGTAAACAAGCAGAATGATCGTGTTTACTTGCCATAAAGGTCAGCTGAAAATGTGCACCTTCGGTTGGCCACTAGAACTCAAGCGCCGGCCATGGTGATGGCGTGGGCCGCCATAACAACCGATGGTCGCTCTCCGCTCGTATTAATCGACCGTGGCATCAAAATAAATGCCGAATATTATAAAAATATTCTATTCTATATTATATTCTGGAGGGTGTATGAAAGCCTTAGGCACGCAAACATTTTGGCTGCAGACCTTGGACATTCTAACAGGACTCAGCACGCGCCACCCAAGAACGATTACAAAATTACGTTTCTAGCTTCATTTCCAGCGCTCAATGGCCAAATCTCACTAAAAAATACCAAAGTGTCGATCACCTCAAGCAAGCGCTTCGCCGGGAATGGGACAAAATACCGCAGGGTAACATTCGGGCAGCGTGTGACGGTTTCATTGGCCGTTCGAAGGCCATAATTCGTGCCAAAGGTGACCAATTCGAACAAATCTATTCTAAAATTTGATACTGTTTTCGAGATTTTTTGCTTTTTGCTTCAGTAAAATTAAAAGAAAAAATTTAAAAATCATGGCGTTTGACTTTGTTGCAGTTTTTTTATCTCACCATGTATGTTTACAAGACACTTTATACCTAAAACGTAAAAATAAGCATTTTCCGCCGTATTTATACCCTACACCACAAGGTGGTCAGGGTATTTTGTCTTTGTGCATTTGTTTGTAACAGGCAAAAGGAAACGAGATAGACCCATAGTTCCTTTTGATGATCTGCATAGAATCACTTTCTGAGTTGATTTATGCATGTCAGTCCGTCCGTCTGTCCATGTATTCTTGTGAACAAAATGCAGGTCGCATTTATTATCCGATTGAGATGAAATTTTGCAAGGACGAACCCTATTGAAATTGGAGATAATCGGTAAAAATTTAGATATAGCTCCCATATATATCTTCGTTCGATTTGCCTTTTATTGTGCACCAAACGTGTAATATCAGCCCGAATAATATGGAATTTTGCACATGCAACCAAATTAGGCCTGAAAATAAATATGCCAAATTTGATAGAAATCGGTTCAGATATAGCTATAGCTCCCATATATATTGTTCATCCGATTTGTTATTTTAGTCCTCCGCAGCCGTAATATGCACTCTGTAACAACAATATTTGGGGAAATATATCAAATGCAGCTCAGAAATACTTTTGCTAAATTTTATCGAGATCGGTTCAGATTTGGATATAGTTCCCATATATAACTTCGTCCGATTTACCATTTATTGTGCACCAAACGTCTAATATTTGTCCAAATGGGATGGAATTTGGCACTTACGACCGAATTTAGTCTAGAAGGTAGTATGTCAAATTTGGTGAAGATCGGTTCAGATATAGCTATAGCTCCCATATATATTGTTCATCCGATTTGTTGTATTTGTTACCTACAGCCCTAATATGCACTCCGTAAAAACGATATTCAGGGAAATATATCAAATACAGCTCAGAAATATCTTTGCCAAATTTTATCGAGATCGGTTCAGATTTGGATATAGTTCCCATATATGTTTTTATCCGATTTCAAATTAATTTCGCACCAAATGGGCAATACAAGTCCGAATTTAAAAGATACAAATGCTTCGGCATATTTAGTCCTTAGAATTTTAAATTATAATTATAATCATAGCGTGTATGATTGAATTCTTCTATAAAAACTTTTAATTGTTATGCGGAGCTCAACTAAATTAGCAAAGTGGTGTAGGGTATCATAAAATCGGCCCCGCCCGACTTTAGGACTTTCTTTACTGGTTTGGTTACAACCCAGTGCAGACTTTCAAAAGGCCGTTACATATGTATCATATTAAATGTAATTCTGAAAAATAAATGTTGCACAGCATGCATTCCATGCATCCAGATCCAGTCACACTTTGAAAAAAAGAGGTGCTTTTGCAGTTTGGGTTTTCGGTGAACGTGAAATATCTTTTACAAAAAATACCCTTACAGAAATATGCTCTAAAATTTTATTTGAGGTCTTCAGAAAGTAGAAAACCTTAATACTACATTGAGCCCATGTATTGAATATATATATATATACTCCGAAAAAGGTAATTCTTCACTTTATTTTGAATTTTATAAGAATACTATGTTTTAAATGTTATGAATATTTAATCCTTTAACAATACTTTTCATATTTCTTTCAAATCTTAAAACATTTATTCAATATCTTCAACGTAAGAACGTAGTCTTATGTCGATTTTTAAGAATTTACACACAACCAAACACATCTACATATATATTCGTGTGAAGTAAGCAGCAGCTGCAACAATATTCCATTAAGGATTTGCAAAAATTACAACACGTTTAACGGTTATATGAAAACGAAAGAGCATTTTCATATATTTTTTCAGATATTGCAATGTGTCGGTGTGAACACATTTATGTTTTTTTTCGTTACTAAATTTGTTGTTTTGCCTAAAATATTAAATATGCATGTATGTATGTATGTATCTTTGAAGGGGACTCCTACCGAATGGGTGTAGTGAATTTCGGCTAACTCACAACAACATTGATAACGCAGTATAGCACGACCACTTTTTCTGAAAGGTATTTTTGAAAATAAAACAAAAAAAGAAAAATTATTTTTGTTGGCTTTTGTTTTTTGATTCAAAAAATTCCAAATAATTTCATTCAATTGGATTGAATTGAAATAAAAGTAATCTATATATATATATAGAAAAATCACAGAAAAAAGAAACAAAATTTTATATATGTATATGTAATATGTTACTTTTAAAAATACAAATTTCGAGAGAAAAATACAAAAAATTTAATTAAAGAATACTTTATTTAGCATAATTTATTTACTTTTAGCAATTTTTTGTTTACTTAATGATTAAAAAATAATAATAAAATATCAAGGGAAGTGTTAATAATCAAAATGTTACAAGTGATAATTACACACACACACAGTGACAGAGTTACACACATACAACCACGAACTCACCTTAATAGACGTGTTATATAGTCCGGCCAATTCTCAGGAAACATTACCAAAAAGAAACCCACCGCAATCAAAATGACACCGGCCAATTTCATGCCAGCAAATGTAGCACCGTACAGGACAACATCCAAAGCTGGAAAGACAACAAGAAGAACAAGAACCAACCACACCAACAATGGCAACAATAAATTGATAGCAAATTAATTCAATAATCAACACTTTGTCTCTCATTCCTGTTTTTTTTTTTTGTTGTTCTCCAAAGGATAGAAATATCGCTTCGCCTCCCAAGAGACGATAAATCGAATAAATGATTGCAATTACAAGAAGCAGATGAAGAAGAACAACAGCAACAACAAAAAAGAGTTCTAATTACCTCCGGACACAGGAACAGCAGTAATTAAACCTAACGTAACGAACATATTGTAGGTAACAGCCGAGCTAAATTGCATTAGAATGTGAAACACTGCCGGAGAAGAAGAAGAAGGAAAAGAAAAGTGTGGGGGAGAGAAGACAGAAAAAAGGTTAATTATTATTTATGTGTTTTTAAATAGACAGGAGTAAATTGAAATGATATCTTGGATATATCTTTCTTAATTGTTTATTTTTATCAGTCCGTGTGTAACTCCTCGATATCATTATTGGTGTGCCATTAAACCTTTTTTTCATATATATTCATATATATAATACAAGTTAACTCCCGATGGAAATGGTTATTATTATTATAAATGGTTACACAAAGTCGGTCGTTTCGTTTGTAACTCGTGGAACTTATCATTTACTCATAATCAGCGTAAAAAAAAAACAAGATGATTTACACATGTCTTTCTAACGCTTAAAGCTGAAAACGCTTAAATATATAAAGTTTACATCGTATATACTATATTCCACAATATTTCTGATAGCAATACAGGGTGAGATAAAAATTGCAACAATGTCAAACGACATAATTTTTACATTTTTATACCCTCCACCTTGGAAAGGAGGGTATATTAACTTTGTCATTCCGTTTGTAACATCCTTAATTATTCGTCGTAGACCCCATAAAGTATATATATTCATAATCAGCATACAATTCTAAGTCGATTTAGCGATGTCCGTCTGTCTGTCTGTTGAAATCACGATACAGCCTACATTATTTGACGTAGAGCGCCAACATTTAGCAGAGCAATTTGTATTGTGTCTAGGATGATTGGTATTGAAAATGAGATATATCGGTCTACGTTCTGATATTATCCCCATATAACGGTACCTCCCGATATTCGGTATTTTGATGATTTATGCCACATTTTTTCACGGATTTGTCTGAAAATTGGTATTTGTAAGTCATAACGGGTCCCTGTACGTGTGGCAAAACATTGCATGTATAGGTCCACGTTTTGGTATAGCCCCCATATAAAGGTACCTCTCGATATTTGATATTTTTATTATTTTTGCCACATTTTTTCACGGATTTGTCTAAAAATTGGTATTTGTTGGTCATAATGGGTTCCAGCTCCGGTAGCGAAACATTGCATGTATGGGTCCACGATTTGGTATAGTCCCCATATACCGGTACCTCCCGATATTCGGTATTTTGATGGTTTTTGCCACATTTTTGCACTGATTTGTCTAAAAATTGGTATTTGTGAGTCGTAATGGGTCCTAGTTCGTGTGGCGAAACATTGTATGTATAGGTCCACGTTTTGGTATAGCCCCCATATAACGGTACCTCCCAATATTCGGTATTTTGATGATTTTTGACACATTTTTTCACGAATTTCTCTGAAAATTGGTAGTTGTAGATCATGATGGGTCCCAGTTCGTGTGGCGAGTCATTGTAATTATAGGTCCACGTTTTGGTATAGCCCCCATATAACGGTACCTCCCTATATTCGGTATTTTGATAATTTTTGCCACATATTTTCGCGGATTGGTCTTAAAATTGGTATTTGTAGGTCGTAATGGGTTCTAGCTCCGTTGGCGAAACATTGCATGTGTAGGTCCACGATTTGGTATAGCCTCCATATAACGATACCTCCCAATATTCGACCTTTTAATGGTTGTTGTCACATTTCTTCTAATGTTTCCTTTACTCTAAGGTGGAGGGTATTAAAAGTTTGGCCCGGCCGAACTTAATGTTTTTTTACTTGTTTTTTAATTTTATTGAAATGTCGGAAATAGCATATAATTATAGAATAAGCATAAAATTATAGAATAACAATTGGCACGAATTATGACCTTCAAACGGCCAATGAAGCCGTCACACGCTATCCGAATGTTGCTCTGCGTTATTATGGCTCATTCCCGGCGACGCGCTTGCTTGAGGTGATCGACACTTTGGTATTTTTAGTGCCAACCTTGCTTTCCAGACACAATAGTCCAACGGATTGGTATCCGGAGATTTTGGTGGCCATTGTGCGCTAAAAATGAAGCGAGGAACTTCATTTTGTAACCATTCTTGGGTGGCGCGTGCTGAGTGCGATGGTGCTGGGTCCTGTTGGAATGTTCAAGGTCTCCGGCTAAAATGTTTGCGTCCCTCCAGAATATTTTCGCCACATTTTCAGCTGACCTCATTGGCAAGAAAACCCGATCATTTAGTTTGTTTACAAACTGTTGGACAACGAATGTTTTCTCATTGGAGAAAACCAAATTTGGTAATTCACCATTGGAGAAACCCAAATTCGGCAGATCACCACTTTCGTCCAAGTGAAGCAACTCTTTAGCTATTTTAAGTCAATTTTCTTTCTGTTGCGGTGTAAGTTTTTGCACTTTTTTGAATTTCAATGGTTCATTTTCAATATTTGCGATTGGAATATTGTTCAGCTCACGAACCCTTTTTCGGCCACTGCGACGGGGGTTTCGATCAAAGAGTTTCTTTTCGAACCATTTCTGCTGATGTTGCTGTTTTCTTCCGTTCACTTCCTTGACGTCGGGCTACGCTACCAGTATCACGGTAACGAGCTGATACGAGACACAGAAGAAGACGACAGCCAAATATAGAGAAGTCACACTATCACGCTGGAATTCCATCACGAATAACTTTTTTTCTGGAAAATTTTCACCAAAACGCTTGTAAGCAATATACTGAGCTGTCGTTGGAATAATTTTTACAGTTGTTGGACGAGTGGCTTAGCAAATTACAGCAGTCTGAAATTGGTTGCAGTTTTTTCATCTCACCCTGTATGGATCTTCCTATCTCGCCGAACTGAGTCGATCTAGCTATGTATGTCCGTCTGTCCATGTTTATATGTAATCACTCTAAAGGTCGCAATTATGGCCCGATCTTCACGAAATTTAGAATTGAGGTGGGGCTAGAGCCAGAATAGAAGCCTATTGCTTTTGGAACTGATGGCATAATATTTAGGGATTGAAAAATTTCCTGATGTTGCAGTTGCTCTACAGGTCGCAATTATAGACCAATCGAAGCGGAAGTTAGCATGAAGCTTAGGGCTGGGCAGAAGCCTTCCCAGGTTGATGGGCATCGGGTGATATTTAGTGGGTAAAAATATACCATAACATTTGTGTTAAATAAAAGTCAAATTTTCAATTCAATTCCGACCGTTACGTAGATGTCGATAGTAAATATATCGGATATATATAGCGAAATATATACAATGTATATATACAAAGGAAGGGGATATGCTAGAATTCGTATATAGCATTTTCAGATTAAATGAAACCTTTTGCAATTCAAATGAAACTTTTTTCAGCGGGAATGAAACCTTTTGCAGTGGAATTGAAACCTTTTGCAGTGGAAATGAAACCTTTTGCAGTGGAAATAAAACCTTTTGTAGCGGGAATGAAACCTTTTGCAACCGAAATGAAACCTTTTGCAACGGAAATGAAACTTTTTGCAAATCAAATGAAACTTTGAGATTTTCGGAAGGAAAAATACCAAAACATTTTTATTTTTAGTAGGTTTAAAATTAAAACAACTAATTTTAACTAATATATAGTTAAAGAGGAATTTTTATTGATTATTAATGTCTATGTTTTTATAATTTTTTTCCTAAAGCTTCCATAAAACACAAGTGTAGATGCAGAAAGATTGAAAAAAGTTTTTCAAGGTATTTTTTTCAAAGGACCCGAATTAGGTACCTTTTTATAATCTCCTCCATGGAAAGGAGGATATATTAAATTTGTCATTCGGTTTGTTACACCTCTAAATATTCGTCGTAGACCCCATAAAGTATATACAATCATGATCATAGTTGATTTAATGATTTCCACTTATCTATCTATTGAATCTCCATAATCAATAAAGCTGCGAAGCGGGAATCCTTTATTAGGTAAGATTAATAGTATACTATAACTATAAAAAATTGTGGTAAAGCTTAATTTCACATTTCAGTCCAGGCCATACCTATAAAGGCCAACATTTGTTTAAATTTCTCTTTTTAGCGTTAAGCATTTGGAATTTAATAATATGGAAGCATTTTATATCAAATCAATAAAGAACCATTTGTTATTACAATAATAGAAAATTTAAGAAATAATATAAATAAATGTAGATATTTATAATCAATAAAAAATCCTCTTTTTCAATATTTTAGTTATAATTAATTGATTTAATTTAAAAACTACTGAAAATAAAAATGTTTTGTTATTTTTCCTTCTATAAATTTAAAAGTTTCATTTGATTTGCAAAAAGTTTCATTTCGGTTGCAAATGGTTTCATTTCGGTTGCAAAAGGTTTCATTTCCGCTGCAAACGGTTTCATTTCCACTGCAAAAGGTTTCATTTCCACTGCAAAAGGTTTCAATTCCACTGCAAAAGGTTTCATTTCCGCTGCAAAAAGTTTCATTTTAATTGCAAAAGGTTTCATTTAATCTGAAAATGCTATATCTCAAGAATGGCTGGACCGATTTTGACAAATTTTGTCAATTCAGAATGCCCTCTTGGCATAAAAGTATAAAATTTAAAAAAAAAAAATACATAAAAAGGTGTTATGGTGATGTTAATATAGATTTTGTAGTATTTTGTGAAATTTTTTTATTTTTTCATATTTTTTATAGCATGCGATTTTTTTTAATTTGACTTATAATATTGATGGGTATATTTTGTAATATTTTTTCACCTTGCTACACGAGGTGGGATTATTATGGACAGATTGCAATTATCGTACGATTCTCGCGAAAATTTTCACAGGTCTATTGTTTTCAAAGATGTTCGTAATATTTTTAGGGGTTGAAATGGATCAACAACTAAAAATGTCCCTGACTTTGCTGCCGTTATAAACGCCACAAATAGGACACGAAATCTTGCATAAAATTAAAGTTTAGAATAGCGGGTAGAATGGACCACTACTTTTTTGTGAAGAAATTTCAACATTTCCATTCTTATAGGCAAAATCCAAAATACACAAAAGGCGAACTTCTGGCTTTTTTGCAGATTTAGCCAAATATCGTAGACAAGCAAATCATATAGATGAGTCTAAATTTGGAGATACAGAGGGGCATCTTGCATTTGGAGATGATCGCAAAA